GCCGCGGCCTCCGCGTGGCCCGCGGGCTTCCTCGGCGCCCCCGCCGCGGGCCCGCGGCGCCCGCCGCAGGCCGGCGGGGGGATCGACTACAGATGCGACCTACAGTCCGCCCGCGCAGCAAGGGTGGGCAGCCTTCCCAAGGGTACCCTTCAAGCCGTGCCTCCTCGGTCCATCCTTCGCCACCTTCGTCGGCCGCGCCCCGCTCGAAAAGCCTCGAAATGGGCGTCCAAGGCCCTCGCATCCTTATCGCGCATCCTGATCATACGGGTTGACTGCACCCCAAAGTTGATTTCCACGTCGACTCTTCAACACAAGAGCATACGCCGACCATGCGCAGATCTGCGAGAGCTCCCGCGACTTGCCCCTGGATCCGGCACGGAAGATCCGCTCTGGGGCAGATCACGCCTGTCGCCGATCCCCTCCTCGAGCAGGGCGGCGGCCCGCGCGCCGAGCTCGCCGCCGGCGCGCGCGCCGCGCGGGACGCCGCCCTGCGGGCGCTGGCCGCCGCCGACGCCCAGCGCTGGCGGGCGGCGCCGCGCGGCGGCGGCCCGCTGCACGCCGCGGCGGGCGGCGGCGAGCCGGTGGCCGGGCACGGCGCGGGGCTCAGAGGAGGAGAGTCAGGAGCGGCAGAAGGACGTACACTCGGGCCGAGGTGTAAGATCGAGGTCGGTTCGGGGAGGGTACCCTAGTGTTCTTCGTGTTTGTTGGATGTCCTTGTGCATCCTGGGGAGGGTACCCTTGGATGTTCTGTTTGTTTTGGCCGACGGAGGGTCTCATGTTCTTGACGGATGTCCTTCTGGCCTAGGTCCGACTGTACATTCAAGTCGGGCCTGTCCCTCTGCAGGGGGCATATCTCAGAATTGTCCAGAAATAGTCAGGGGACGATTTTTGTTAGTATTGTTTGACCATTTGGGGGTATTTTTTGAGTATTTTTTATTCTTCGTCCAAAATGCCCCTGTAGGGGAACAGGCCCGACTTAAACGTACACGTACATGATCGATTACACGTAAGAGTGACCCTTCGCCGGAGTGACCTTTGGTGCGGGCTCATTGGGGTCCCCCGATCGCCGAGCCCGATGCGATAGCAGCGACCTGCGCGCTTGTGTTTGGTCCCCCGCGGCCCCCAAAAAAGCTGCGCACTAAAGGTCACTCTTACCCAGGGTCACTCTTGCTTGTAGCCGACATGAATCCACGCTGGTGTCTAGAGGACGCCTTGCGCAACTGCTCGTATCACGCGGCCAGTCTCGCGGATCGAGGGGCCGTGTTCATGTACATAGCTGGGCGCGTACGCTCTTTGTGGGCTCCCTAGGGAAGCCACCGATGCCGCTGCCCTTGCTTTGTGTTTCGGGTGGGTGGTAGGGGGTGACCTACACTGAGGGAGGGGGGTGAGGAAGAGGGCCCTGAAGGGACCCTCAAGGGCCCTCTTTGGAGCCAGCTGGGGCCCAAAAGGGGCCCTTTGGGGCCCCCTGTCTTCACCCACCATATAGGTCTACCCCCAATTGTCACCCGCCCGAGTTTGCCTCTTTTTGGGCCTCCTGGGAGGCCCTCGTCGCCACCGCTGGATTCGCCTCGACATTCCGGTCGGAACGCGCGCCGGGAGCGGTCCAGGGAGTACCGGTACCTTTGGGTTTCCCCAGGGGCGGGGTGGTCCAGGCCCTCGCCTCGGGGGCAGCGGTTGTCTAGGCCTTCCAGATGGTGTCCTGGTAGATGAGGTCGGAGGATCGCGCCGCATGGCCAATGTATCGCCGATGCATCGGCGATGCGTCGGCGACGTCGGCGATGAACCCGCGCCGTCGGCGTGGAGAACGTCGGGCTCCACATCGAGCCGCATCGCCGACGCATCGGGTATGGCCAGGCCCCTGGACAAGGGGCTGGTGAGTGATAGGGCCCGGGACCAAACAGAATGCCGGAATCATCAAACCATGTCTGCCCAAGCACACGTCACTAAAGCCGGTCAGTGGACTGGGATGGGGGAGGCGTCCCCAAGCACACGTCACTAAACGAGGTCCCACCAAACGCAGTCTTGCCAATGCTTAGGGATGGGCTCAGGGGGCTTCGCCTCCCGGAGAGGGCTCCGCCTTCAGTGCAGTCAAGGAGCTGGCGGTCAACTTTTTGAGTCCTGGAAGGCCTCACCCTCACCCTCTTCCCCCTCCCTCTCCCCCTCAGCCACCCCCCTCCCTCTCCTCTACCCCATCTCAGCTCCCCTCCTCCCGCCTCCTACCCCTCCTCCCCGCCACCCCCCCTCCTCCCCTCCCTCTTCTTCCTCGCCCGACGACGCCTTCCCACGCCGTTGACGCCTCCGCATACCGCATTGTTGCCTATCGCAGGTCGGCTCGCGTGTTGCTCCTGGTTTGCCTGTCGACCTCTTGATTCGCACAGCGGTCGCGGCCGAGTCGAGTGAAGCCCTGTGATCGCGCTCCCTCCCCCTCTGAAGAAAAAATCGGCAGCAAGCGAGGGAGGAAGTGAGAAGGAGGAGGCCTTCTCAGAAAGCGGCGGGACTTCTCAGAATCCCTCGCGCTTTCTGGGAAGTGACTCTAACAAAACAAACGAACGGTTTTTCCAACGAGCTCGAGTATGAAACCGAGTTCAGACCTCTGAATGCGACAGGCGGACGCGTCTGATGTCAGCGGATCGATTCCTGTGATTACCAGCTCTGCAGCCCCCGCCTGAGATAAGTGCAGAAAGCCGAGAGTACCTCTCAGGTTGACTCGAATAATATAACAGTTTCGCGGATCTCGTTCGAGCAGCAGACCGAGTTCCGAGCTCTCGGTTCGACGAACGGACGCGCCTGATATCTCGAAATCGATTCCTGTGACCTCCGCACGCCGCCAACGCCGATGACGCCGCCGACGTCGACGATCGCCGACGACGACGCCGTCGCCGTCGACGCGACGACACCGCAAGCGCCGACGCCCAACGCCGACTAGGCCCGGCGCGCACTGGCCGCGCTCCACGACGACGCCCGACGACGCCCGACGACGCCCGACGACGACGACGACGACGACGACGCCCGACGCCCGACGCCCGACGCCCGACGCCCGACGCCCGACGCCCGACGCCCGACGCCCGAAGCCGACGCCGCCGGCGCCGCCCGACGCCGACGAGGCCCCGCCGGCGCGCTCTGGCCGCGCCCGGGGCGCAGCGCCTCGCAGCCGGCGCTGCGGCCGCCGTGGCGGCGCGCGCGGGCCGCGGCCGAGGCGCCGGCGGCGGCCTGGCGCGCGCCGCGGTGTGGCGGCGGCGCCTCGGCGTGCAGCCGCCAGGGGGCGCAGGAGCCTCGTCGGTCGCGAAGGCCTTGCGGCCGGCGCCGCCGACCCTGCAGGGGGACGACGGCGCCGCCGACGACGCCGCCGACGGCGACGACGACCACGACGACGACGACGATGACGACAACGACGACGACGACGACGACGACGACGCCGACGACGACGACGCCGACGATGCCGACGCCGACGCCACCGCTGCCACCGCTGCCGACGCCGACGACGCCGACGACGCCGACGACGACGCCGACGACGCCGACGACGACGCCGACGACGACCACCACGACGACGACACCGACGACGCCGACGCCGACGCCGACGCCCGACGACGACGACGACCAGGACGAGGACGACGACGACGACGACAGGTTGAAGACGGCCCACAAGGCGCCCAAGACGGCCCAATAAGGAGGATTCGAACTCACATGCCGAGCTCTCCGCCTCAAGGGGGCGGGTCGTTTTCAAAATGAGGTTCTCGCCCTAGCGCCGCGCAAATTCATTTGAACAGATTGCAGGAGATCCACGGGTTGAGGGCAGCTCCTTGTCAAAATGTGGTTCTCGCCTTGGGGCCGCGCACATTCGTATCAAACATGTGCAAGAGGGTCCGCGATTCCCATGGTCAGCGTACCAGAAATAGTATTCTGCAGCGATTCAGGAGTGTCAGGGCGCGACAGCCGCGTTGATTTACGGTGCTGAAGTCCCAGGGGTGGCGTTCTGGCGCGGTTCAGGACCGTCAGGATGCAACAGTCAGGTTGATTTGTGGCGCTCGAGTCCCGAGAATGGTGTTTTGGCACGCATTAGGCTTTGAAAACGGTTGTCTCCCCATGGGGCACTTCCTTCAGTTGAGATGAATCCTTGCCGGGGCCTATGAAGAGGTAGCTTGGAGGGAGGGCTTATCCCAACGTCGCTGATTAGTCCTGGGTTCACACTGTCCTCCTCCTCCTCCTCCTGCTCCTCCTCCTCCTCCTCCTCCTCCTCCTCCTCCTCCTCCCTCTCCTCCTCCTCCTCCTCCTCCTCTTCCTCTTCCTCTCTCCTCTCTCAGCTGATGGCAATGGGACCCGTCGGATGCTGCCACGTCACCACCTCCTTCTCCTTCTCCTTCTCCGCCTCCTCGTCGTCCTGCTCCGCCTCCTCGTCGTCCTGCTCCTCCTCCTCCTCCTCCTCCTCCTCCTCCTCCTCCTCCTCCTCCGCCTCCTCGTCCGCCTCCGCCTCCGCCTCCTCGTCGTCCTCCTCCTCCTCCTCCTCCAGCCGCCCCCGAGGAAGCGGCGGGGCGCGGCGAGGTGGAGGCCGCAGAGACTGGCGGGGCGGCCTCCCCAGGCCGCCCGACCTCGGCGGCCGAGCGGGGCCGCATGCGGGGCGCGAGGACCCCTCGCTCGCCGTGGGGCCAGCGCGGTCACAGGGCGGGTCGTTCGGGGGATCGGTCCTTCTCCTGGATCTGTAATCTGGTGGCAGTGATGTCGTTCAGACGTTGCCTCCCCCACCCCCCAGCGGGCGTTGCCGCCGGGGGGGGGTCGACTCTCTGACGGCGCTGTGCCACCGGGGAAGACGAGCAAAGACGTGCGAACATGGATCCTCATCCTCGTCCTCTTCCAGCTCATGTAGAATCCTTCTACCACCCCTCCAGACCTCCCACAACTCAATCCCTCACTTCCCACGGTGGCGTTCCCGTTGACGCTGGGGAGGTGCCAGCTCGGCGAGCTGAAACAGTTGCCGTCAGAGCATGCCTCCTCGATGCGACGCCATGCTGGGGTCCGGCGACGACTTGGAGTACGAATTCACTTATGAGGATGCTATTGAGCCGCTGAAAGCATTGATCGAGCAGCACTCCGTGAATGACAGTGCTGGGAAACTCTTCTTGTCGTACGGGCTTGTGGCCTTGCCGCCTTTCCCAGCCGATCCCGATCCGTCTTTCGAGGCCCGCGGGTGGGGGGGATTGGCGTGGTGGATGGGGGTGGAGGGTCTTCACCGACGGTTCGGGATTGGCTCCTTCGGTAGTCGGTCTCGCTCGATGCGGATGGTCTGTCGTGGAAATCGAATCTGCCCCCACGGGTCTGCCTCTCAGGGCCATCTATGGAGCGTAACCAGCAAGGGTCCAGACCATCCCTCGAGCAGAGTATGTCGCGAGACTGAAGGCCTTGGAGGTCGCTGCCAGGCCCACTCATGCAGTCAGCGACCATCTGCCGCGGGCGCGGGCGGGCCCGAGCCAGGGTCCCACCACCGAGCGTTCGTCGTCTCGGCACGCGTGCGCGTGGAGAAGAGCGCACGCTCTGCGTGATCAGTCCCAGCGCATTCGCGAGCTGCAGGCTGCTCTGGAGGACTGCGCCAGCGTTGTGCTGCTCTGGCGAGGCAGCTCATGAGCCGACCTGTTTGCTCGCCTCGAGGCCGATGGCCATGCGGTGGCCGAAGTCCTGGTGGACTTCCGTAAGTGCACGCTGACGGATGCTGAAGCCACTGCGAAGGTCTTCGCCTGGATGGGCCAGGTCGTGGCCCAGAAAGCGGCGGCCCAGGATGGGCCGAGAACCGTTCCGCCAGGGAGGCCTGGGCCTAGGGGCCCGCAGTCGTTGCAGGTTTCTCGTCACGATTTGTACGTGTGCGAGCGAATTGGAGAGCACGGGCGCGTGCGCTGCAACAGGTTTGCGCGCGCCCCTCTCCCTCAAGTTGCTCTGTCAGGCCGCGCGTGAGCCTACGGTAGCCGCCTAAAGGGCGGCGAAGCGTGTCTTCTTGCTCACTCCTGAGACTTTCCGCCCTTAAGTGTCGGCCGCCGTCGCGCTGGCGATGAGGGCGGCCGACGAGGCGGGCATCGATCTTCAACCTCATCTTCTCTCCCCAGATGGTGGGGGTCGCACTGATTTCTCGTGCGGGATTGCGCCTTATGCCGAGCCTGCCTCCCAGTTTTACTTGTCGGTGTTCGTTCTCGGACTCCCTCTATCGACTGTGCCCCCCTCCTCCTTCCATCTTGCCCGTCCAACCCAATTCTCCCTCCCTCCTCTCCTCCTCTTTCTCCTCTTCATCCTCCGTCCGTAGCCATTTTGGCTCAAGATGCCTAGTTCCACAGTGGAACAAGTGGATACCGCTAGTCCGCGGCCAGTGCCAGGGCTCTTGAGCCCGACAGCTTTGTTCAACTCTCCGTGTGCCTCCTGCAGCCCGCAGGTGAGCTTCCTCTGTTCCTCAGCTCGTCCATGGCGCCCCCGCAGCAGCGCAGCGCCTATGTCAAGTGCTACTCCTGCTCGTACGCCTGGAACTACAAGGCCAACCAGACGTGCTACTGGTGCAGCAAAGCCTTGGCGCCGTGGACAGATTCCCCGCCTCCAGTTCAAGGCGCCTGGGCGGCCCGCGCCAAGGCCGCAGCCCAGGCCGACCCCAGCTGTACCCAGCAGGCCAGCCCCGAGACGGGATGGGAACCGTGGTCATCATGGCCCAAGTCCCGCCGCCGCCGAGGCAATGGCAATGGCAAGAACCAAGAGGACGACTGGTGGGCCAACAAGAACGACACCCCCAAGGTGCGCTCCGCAGAGGACATCCTTGCGCAGCTCCAGGCGATCGCCCCCCACATCGACAAGGCAGCCATCGACGGTATCAAGTCGCAGATCCCGCCGCCCCAGCCGCAGAAGCCAGCCGACCTCAACGACATCTACAGCCGCGCCCAGGCCACGGAGCGCCGCTGCAAGAACAACCTGGAGAGGCTGCTCGAGAGCGAGCAAAAGGCGCTCAGCTGGTACACCGAGCGCAAGGCGGCGTCGGAGGAGGCCGCCTACAAGTTGGCAGAAGCCCAGGCCGAGGCTCAAGCCGCTCTCGATGCACTCCAAGTCGCTCGCAAGGGCGGCACGGCCACCCCCACGACCTCGCAGCAGAACCCGACGTTCAACCTCACCAGCCTCCTCGAGGACGGTGACATCTCCATCGAAGCGGGCTCGGCTTTCGATCTCCAAGGCCTCGATATCGACGACAGCGATCGCCAGGCATGGGAATCCCTTCAGCAGCGCTTCGCCACGGAGCTCAAGGCCAAGGTCACCGAGCTCTTCGGCAACACCGCCAGCCGCATCAGCCAGCTCCGCACAGAGGCCAGCACCATGCGCACGCGCTTCGCCGCCAAGCGACAGCGGTCCGACGAAGACGGCCACGCCCGAGAGGGAGGTGGATCACCGCCCGCCGCCTCGGCGACAGCAGGCGAGCCCCCAGCGGCAGCCGCAGCGGACGTTGATGGCTCTGCGGCCTCATCGACAGCGGCGCCAGGCGATGAGCCTCCCGCACCTGCTGCTGGCGCTGCTTCTGACGGCAGCTTCGCTGCACAGCCTGTACCAGCGATCAACAAGGACCCCGACCTCGAAGACAAGGCACAGAAGATGCTCAGCCAGATGCGCAAGCCCACCGCGACCGCCGCGGCTGGAGCGCAGCAGCCTCTTTAGCCGACTACTACCCGACCCTGGACGGAATGGTGAGACGGGACGTCTACCGTCAGAGACCAAGTGCTACGACAACCCACCTACCTTCAACACAATGGACGCAGTCCTCGACCCGTTCGACGAGCTGGCCGAGTTGGACGCCCACATCGATTTCGCATCCACAGCTCAGTACGATACCGCCCCGCCCGAGACGCTGTCCTCGGTTGGGGGCGATGAGGCGGCACAGTCCGTCGACGCAGTGACATGGGGCCCAGGGCAGCCGCAGCGTGCCGCGCGAGCCGACCCTGATGCCGCCCCGCCCGAGACGCTGTCCTCGGTAGGGAGCGATGAGACGGCCCAAGCTGTCGTCAAGCATGTGGTTCAGGAACCAGGGGAGCCGTTGCCAACGGCACACCCTGATGCCGCCCCGCCCAAGACGCAGTCCTTGGTAGGGGGCGATGAGATCGCGAAAGCTATCGACTCGACCTCTGCGAAAGGCCCATGGAAGCCCAGCAGCCCGAGACCCGACCCCAGACCCGTCTACCAAGACGATGGCCCTACGAGTCCCACGCCATCAGATCACTCCCTGTTCTTCTCCAACATTGCTCAGTGGGGGGCCACAGTCGGAGAAATGGCTGGCAGGACCAGGCAAACAATATCAGATGGTGGCTTTGGTTGAAACACACATCTCGCACGGTAAAGCCCCTCTCATCTACGACAAGCTAGCAGCGGATGGTTGGAGGATATCATCGACTACAGCCACGCCGACCAGCAGATCCGACGGAGGCAACACGGGTGGCGAGATTATCCTCTCCAGGTACCACGTCCAGGCCACAACCTTCAACCACCTCCGCGACCTGGCCATCTCCCAGCGCAGGCCCGACCCGTTCCGAGGCTTCACGCCCATGGTGTGGCACAGACGCTCTGGCAACCTGGTTGTTGTTGCAGCGTATCTGGAACCCCACAGGCAGATCGAGGGTGCAGTGCACGATAAGCTACTCTCGCTGGGGGCCTTCGTAACTATGCTCACTGACCCGTGGATCATCCTGGCCGATTGGAATATGGCCCCTGAGCAGCTCGCGGCGACAGAGTGGCCCGCCAAATGGAATGCTACCATCGTGCGAGCGCCAGGATCTGCCACGTGCGACAAGGGCCAGGGACTCACGCTCGACTTCGCATTGGTCAAGACTGGCATCGAGCACACGATCTCCATGCGCCAGTGCCCCACCGTCCCCTGGGCCACCCACGTGGGCCTTGAAGTTCGAGCAGGCAGTGCAGACCCCTGGTGGTATCAGTCGATCCATACCCCCAGGGCTTTCCCCACAGTGGACAGACCCAGGATTCCACCCGACCCCAACAGCAAGTCCGCCATCAAGAGACGTAAAACAGCAGAAGCTCGAGCAGCACGCCTACGTGAGCTACCTCCTGAACTCCAACAAGCAGCAGCACAACTCCAGCCACAAGACGAGCCCGCACCACAGGAGCCTATCCCCTACGCTATCCCTTCGGACCTCTGGGAGGAGCAATGGCAGCAAGCAGTACCCACACGGTGTAAGCAGCCCCACGCGCACTTCGCGTACACCCACTGGGAGCACGAAGCCGACGACATCAACCTCAAGTACGCCAAATGGGCCACGACGCTCGAGAACGCCATGATCAGCCACCACCAGATCGACCCCAAGGAAGCCGCAGCATTCACAGGCCGTGCCCAAGGCTACCAATTGTCCTGGAAGAAGACGGCCGCCGCCCCAGGCCGAGTTCACGTACACGACCCTCAGTCGGAATGGTGGGCAATCACGCTCACCCTCATCAAGCGCTACGCGGCGCTTCACGACAAGCCCAAGCACACTGCGCTCATGCAGCAGCAGTCCTCCATCATCCAGCAGCGCGCGGACCACTTCAACACTCACTTTCACGACCTCCAGTTCGAGAAGGACGAGGACACCATCTTCCGCTGGTTTGCACTCGTCTGGGCCCCGCACTTGGACAACGAGGACACCGACGACTTGGTCACTATTACTGCTACTTGGGCCTCCAGAGCTCTTGCTGCCGCCCTCGCTAAGTCCAAGAGGGCCTACGGTGCTTGGCTCGCCAAGCAATGGAAACACCGCCCTGGAGTACTACACGCCCATGTCAAGCCAGCGCCCGTGCGTCACATCGAGGCCTACACGACCAACCTGACCATCGCCGACCCAACCGTTATCATGGACAGCAAGAAGCAACAGTGGCAACAAGTATGGCAGGCCACCGAGACCCCCGACGACATCCTACAGGCGCTGTCAAAGGCCAAGGCAGCAGCCGCTCGCCAACCGCTCGAGCCCATTACAGCCGAGATCGTACACCGCTTTCACGGCCGCATGCCACCCAGTGAAGCACATGGAGTTGACGCCCTTGGACCTCGCGACCTCCATCGACTACCAGAACCAGCAGTCGAAGCCTATGCGGATATCCTCAACGCGGTTGAGCAAGCAGGCATTTGGCCACTACAAATCTCAGGCACTATTGCAGCCCTTGCAGCCAAGAAGGCTGGAGGCGACAGAGTTCTCGGCATGCTACCTCACATGGCCAGACTCTGGTCTCGCATCAGGTCGACTGCTTCTATATCTTGGACCCAAGGCCTGGACGGCTTTTGGACTACAGCCATCAAAGGCTCCTCAGCTCTCCAGGCCGCCCTACACAGGGCCTTGTTAGACGAGACAGCCCCAGCACTTGGCATACAGTCAGCCACATTGCTATTGGACATCCAGAAGTTCTACGACAATATCAAGCTCGCCAACCTCATTATGGTCGGCCTCAACTGCGGCTTTCCCCCCATCATTCTACTTCTGGAAGTACAGCTATACCTGGCGCCCAGATTCTTGCGCAGTCGACAATGGGTGAGTATGCCTATCTTCGCCTCCAAAGGCATCATCGCAGGCTCCCCGCATGGCACGACCTTGGCACGACTCATATTACTTCCTATTCTACGGCAAGCCCAAGCGCAGGCAGAGCTGGCCCAGATGTGGACCTTCGTAGACGACACTGTCCTTCGAGTCGAAGGAGTCCTACGCACACTACATAAGCACCTCCCTCGTGCCGCCAAGACGCTCTGCGACGGGCTAAAGGAGTTCGAGCTGCCCATCTCTGACAAGACGGCCCTCATCGGCTCCACCCCCAAGGTCCGCAAATCGCTAGCCAAGAAGTTGCGGCAGTACGACATCCCTGTTACAGCGACCGCCACGGCCGTCGACCTCGGAGTTGACGCGGCTGCGGCTACTCGACGGGTACAAGCCAAAGCCAGGAAGCGACAGAGCTCAGCTGCAGCTAGGTTTCGCAAGATACACCGACTACGGAGCACTGCACAGCAGGCTCGAATCTCGGCAGGACTGTGGCGCACTGGCGCTCTCCCCGAAGGAGTCTTTGGCCATCAGGTACACGGCCTTGCTCGACACGCTCTACTACGATGGCGCCGTCAGGCCGCCATCGCGGCCACGGGGGCAGCAGCGGGCCGATGCCTCACCTCTCTCCTCGGCGCCACCTTCGACGGCATGGACCCAGGAGTTTCCCTAAGGATCGAATTCATCGAGGCTTGGCTCCAGCACTGGATACGCCAAACGAGCACGCACGCCAGGATCATCAGAGCATGGCCAAGGATCAGGACCACTTTGCTAGCCGCAGGCCCCAAGCTGTGGTGCAGAGTCAAGGGGCCCACTGGCGCGGCCATCGCGACCCTGCTGGAGGCCAGCTGGGAGCCAACCTCAGCTACCACGTGGAGGCGCACGAAGGACGGCTACATCGAGGAGTGGAACCTCCCCTCTGCCGACGACCCTGACCTCCCCGACGCCGACATTCACACAGTATTGCAGGACCTCAGCGAGGACTTGCACAGGCTCCTCTGGACTCAGGCCGCCACGCACGACCATGGTGGCACGCTGGCTGGAGGAGCGGACATGGTCACTATTCGCATTGAACAAAGGAGGCTCCTCGCAAACGGTGATTTCAGCGACTGGGCCCTCAACAACACAGTCATCAGTGGTGGTCAATGGACCAGGGGCCGCCTCCACAACGCGGGCTACCAGATCGACAAGAACTGTGACCGATGCAGTGCAGGAGTTCCTGAAACCCTGTTTCACCGCATGTGGCAGTGCGAGGCGAATGTGGGACCTGAGTTTGAGGCCAGCGACAAGTTACTACCGAGAGCCGTAGCGGGGGCCGATGCTGACCCTGCCCTCTGGCTCCGTGGCATCCCTTCTGTCGCTCTCACTACGCCTGCGTTCGAGCCATTGACTGGGAGGGACGGGTGGGAGTTTGTTGGTGCGGTGCGGGAGGGATTGCCGTCGTGGGAAGGAGCTCGCAACGCCGAGGGCGAGTTGTTTCTTTTTGGCGACGGGTCAGGCGGCGCCTTTTCCGACGACGTCAGACGAAGACGCGTTGGTTCTGGCCTCGCGGCCCTCCGATGGGACCCTCCCTCGGCCTCCTGGACCCTCCACGCGGGTCTTCTCGCCCCCCTTCCCAGGCCCCCGCCAGACCGTCCCAAGAGGCGAATTGCATGCGTTTTGCCTGGCACTAGAGACGTGCCAGCAGGATTTCACGTTTGTCACTGATCACCTAGCCCTGCAGCGCGGCTGGCAGAATGGCAGATGTCTCCGACCTGGCAGCCTCAGAGGCAAGAATAAGAATGGGGATCTCTGGCTGCGAATTCGGCACCTCGTGCAGGATCGATCTGGCGGCTGCTCTTCGGTCTCGGTGCTCTGGACCCCATCTCACGCCGATCCCCTCACTTTGAATGGTTTCCAAAAATTTATGGCCCTCGGCAACCAGCATGCCGATGAGCTAGCGGGAAGCGCGGCCCACAAGTCGGCCACCCTTGCCCTCCCGCCTGTCCCCAGGACCGATGAATACGACGCTATTGCAGCCATCGTCCGACAGAGGGCTCGACTGATTTTACGTTCCTTAGGCAAGAATTCAGAGCCTCGAGGACTGTGGCCAGACAGGCAATCCACCCAGGAGGCAGCCCCTCGCTCTCAGTTGCAGACCGCGATCGCGGCTTCTCAGCACAAATTCGAGCGGTGTGCCGACAAATGGAGATGCCCAGCCTGCCTCATCATCGTTGACGCTTGCCACGTTTTCCCAGCTGCCGCCACTGAGTGTGCGCCGCCTTGCCCCCTCCCCGAGTTCGCTGCGTGTGGAGAGGTGCTGTGGTCGAGGGGTCCCCGCGTGATCAGTGGCAAGTTGATCCACCCCTCCCACGCTTTGGCCACCATCCCCAAGTGGCATGTGTACTTTTGTGTGAAGTGCGGCCATACGGCCACGCACCAGGTTAAAAGCCTTCTTTTGCCGTGCCCTCTCTCCCACCAAGTGGGAGAGCGCAGGGCCCTGGGACCCACTGGCAAAGGCCTCGAGAACCTCAGCAGGATCAGGCGAGGCCTCCACCCTTCCAGAGCGGGTCCCAGCAAGTCTGTGCTTGAGGCGTTGCACGTTTCGGCAGCCGAAGCCGCGATCGGTTCCTTCGCGGCGGGTGCCGCCACCGAGTAAATTGCGAGGCCAGGGGGGCCTGTCGCGGTGGGCCGTGGGATGTCGCCCCCCACGGCCTTCCGAGAAATACTGGATGGCCCCCCTGGCATCTCTGGGCTTGAACGGACTACGTCCGATTGCTCCACTCCACTCCTCTTCATCCTCCGTCATCCCTCCTCCTCCCCTTCCTCCCCCTCCCCCGAGGACCCCGGCTCGCCATATGGGGCGCTCCGCAAAGGGCGGAAGGCGGTTTCTTCGGCGGAAGGCGGCTAAAGCAGAGCCCAGGGTGGCTCTGGCGGCGGAAGCCGGCGGAAGTAAGGCTGGCATTGAAACATATGCCTACTGTTTTGTTTGAGGGTCACGTTTCCCGTTTCCCTGAACACCGCCTCGCGCTGTCAGCAAATTCAAGCAGTGGCGAAGCGTTCTGGCGTGCCTATAGGCCTACCAAGCAATATTCTAAGAACCTTTTTGTGGTTTCCACGAAATGTTCTGAGAACATTTCTGGCCGGGACTGTCTTATTTTAACACATCGGGCTCATGTTCTAAGAACATGGTTTTTGTGCTTGGGGCATTTCGGGTTCTATGCACATCTCGTGGTAGGCCTAGAGGAATGCCGGGGCGGTCGGTCCCTGCTCAACAAAGGTCGCGACGTGAGGTTTTCGTCGTGGTCGCCCTCCGGGAGGGGTTCGGATTGGTTCGTCGGTGCCTGGGGGCCTGCTCGCGCGACGGGACGCTGCCCGGCAGCCGCGCCTCGTCGAGGGCGTTCCGCGGGTGCCCGAGAGCCGGACCTCCTCCAGCGGGGAGCTGTCACGACACATGTGTCTGAGGCAAGGCTCGTCTTTCGAGTAGGGGATCGACTGCAGAATTGATGCACCCCAGAGTTTCATCATCTCGTCGAATCTAGGGAAAAGATACTCAGAGTCTTCAGAGTAGGTGCACGAGCATTCTACGTATTCGTCGTAGCTTCGATGGGGAAGGTAAATTTGGGGGTAAATCAATTCTGTAGTCGATCCTCTACTCGAGTCCTCTGGAGGCTCTTGCCGGGCCCCAGGGATTTCAAGACGCTTCCGCACGAAATGCCGGCACCAGGGAAGAGGTGGGACTTCTGGGGACCCCCTGTGGAGACGAAGACACAACGTCGACGAGGGTCGGGGGGGGGTTCTGTGGGAATCAGGTCTTGTCGTTTTTGGTGCAGTTTTCGGGTTCCTGGGGCACGGGCCCCGCGGTCGTCAAAAGACGGCTCGCTCGGGATGGAGAACCGGTCCCAAGGGAAAGCCCCAGGGCTCTTTTCCAGTATCATCGACATGGAGACAAAGATCAACACCAGTTCTTCTAGTCCATCTTCAGCAGGGTTCCTTTCGAGTGCGATCGAAGTGGGGACGAAGGCCAACAACAATTCTTCTAGCCCATCTTCAGCAGAACTCCTTTCCAGTAACATCGAAGTGGGGACGAAGAGCAACAGCAGTTCTTCTAGACCATCTTCAGCAGGGGGTACCATCGACATGGGAACGAAGACGAACAGCAGTTCTTCCAGTCTATCTTGTGCTGGGCTCGCTGTCGGTGTTGCTGCGGACATTTTGGGACAAGCGTCGCCTGCCGAACAGCCCCTGATGTCAGTATTTTCCTAATCAGTGCTTGCACTGAAGGGGTCCTAGCGGATCTCGAAGGATTCATTGGCAGAAGCGCACCGCCGACCCTTTGGGGCGGCAGTAATACTGAAAAATGAAGTTTGCGGAACGCGCGCGATTTCTGGGGAAGCGTGGGGTTTCAGTTTCTTGGGATTTCGTCGGTGACGGTTGGCGGATCGCGGCTCTGCTCTTGGGCTTCTTAGGGCTCTCCTGGCATCATTTTGAGGCCTCTTGGGAGCCGTGTGGAGGGCCTGTTTTGGGCCTCTCGGGGGCCTCGTGGGAGCCTCTTGGGGGCCTCTTGGCGCCTCAGGTTTTTTCGGTGCCGAGTGCTCGAAATGTCCATTCGGGTTCCCCCTCTGGGTCTCCTCTTGGGGCCGTTCTGAGGCCCTCCTGGGCCGTTTTGGATGCTTCTGGGCCGTCTTGGGGCCCTCTTTGGCTGTCTTGGAGCCCTCTGGAGGGCCTCTTTGGCTATCTTGGGTCGATCTTGAAGGCTTCTTGGGCCAGTGTGGGCCTCGTGAAAGCCCAAGAGGCGAGTGTGCTAGTAAAGATAACGTCTTCCCTTGGGAATGAAACGATGTTTGCTTCTGGAGGGCCTCTTGGGACGCCTCTCAGTGGCTTCTTGGGGCGTCTTGGGGGCCTCTGGGGCCGTCTGGAGGCAGTCTTGGGCGTCTTGGAGCGATCTTTCGGCGACTCGTAGCCCTCTTGGACCGTCCCGGGGGCCTTTCGGGACCCTCTGGGCCCGTTTTGGGGGCCCCTGAGGCTCCAAGGGTGCGGCCGGCCCTTTTGCCCCCCCCCCCCCCCCTCTAAACCAGCGCATCTCACACGCCGTGACCCCAAGGGGTCGGCGGATTTGGCGAAAGTGGGCGGCCGATTTCGGTGGGCGGCCAGGTTCCCGGGGTCCCGGGTTCCCGGTTCTGGGTTCCCGGGGTCCCGCTTGCTGGTTCTGGTCCGATTTCTGTGGGCCGCGGGGTTCCCAGGTATCGGGGTTCCCAGGTTCCTGGTCGATCTCTTCATCGATCGGTCTCACCATCGATCTCATTACCC